CTAAGAAGCACTCTGTTAGTGTTTAGTTGCTAAGGGACACCCTATTAGTGTTTAGTTACTAAGAAGCACTCTGTTAGTGTTTAGTTGCTAAGGGACACCTTATTAGTGTTTAGTTACTGAGAAGCACTCTGTTAGTGTTTTGTTGCTAAGGGACACCCTATTAGTGTTTAGTTACTAAGAAACACTGTTAGTGTTTAATTATTAGAAACACACACTGTTAGCGCTTAGTTACTAAGAAACTGCTAGTGTTTAGTTGCTAAGAGACACTCTGTTAGTGTTTAGTTGCTAAGGGACACCCTATTAGTGTTTAGTTAATAAGAAACACTTGTAGTGAGTAGTTTTATAAAACTACTCTTTGACAGTCTTTAGTTTCTAAGAGCCACTCTGATAGTGTGTAGTGTAATAAGCTACCATCAAATTAAAAAACTACTTGTATACCATTGGCAAGCATTGAAAAGTACAATTTTACATCTTAGAACAAAATACAGCACCTGTCCGAGCAACTGCTTTAATATTTCCAAGCGATCTTCATTTCCACCAACTTCACGGGAGGAATGCTCGTTTGCTAAACCAAGGACTCTCAGCTGTGCGGCCTAACGCTCTTGCAGAATTCAACGATGCCATTGTAATGACCAACAGACCTCTTCGAGAAGGAGAAATGTTTCAAGTCCTAATTGATAAAATGGTGGATCGATGGTCGGGATCTATTGAAGCAGGTGAAGAAGTAGTTATATTACTGAAATCCTTACAAAGAAATTAAAATTTCCGAGTAGTTTTCATATTGTATTATAAATATGATCAATTGTATATAAGTTTTTAAGTTATATTTTTGGAGCATTATTTATTAGAATTATTTGTAATAATAAAATTATTATACAGGGTATGAACAATTCACAGATTAAATTCCTTCTGGATCCATGCTAGATGTGTACCCCAGTCTGTTTTATCTGTGATTAAATTCCTTCTGGATCCATGCTAGATGTGTACCCCAGTCTGTTTTATCCGTGATTAAATTCCTTCTAGATCCAAGCTAGATGTGTACCCCAGTCTGTTTTATCTGTGATTAAATTCCTTCTGGATCCAAGCTAGATGTGTACCCCAGTCTATTTTATCCGTGATTAAATTCCTTCTAGATCCAAGCTAGATGTGTACCCCAGTCTGTTTTATCTGTGATTAAATTCCTTCTGGATCCATGCTAGATGTGTACCCCAGTCTGTTTTATCTGTGATTAAATTCCTTCTGGATCCATGCTAGATGTGTACCCCAGTCTGTTTTATCTGTGATTAAATTCCTTCTGGATCCATGCTAGATGTGTACCCCAGTCTGTTTTATCTGTGCTCTACTTAGCACCCCCTTTAGTTTTAAGTAAGTTTTTCTAAGACCTTCCTTTATTGCTTTGTAATGTATTCAACTTGTATGGCTACTTATCTTATTCAGCTCGAACATTTTTTTATTGCGATACCAACTGAAACTGTTAACACCTATTTGTAACACCTATTTAATATTTAGGTGTTACAACTATTCCTCCAGCAGCCCTACAGTTTCCGAGCACGATGACAGACATCAAACATGACACGTGGATGTTAAGGTAAGTTTAGCCTTAAATGTACTTCTGTTTTCCTTTGACATAAGTAATGTGTAGCATGGGAAACAAAACAAAAGATGAGGTGGTTAAATGAAATCCAGTGTAGACCATCATTAAAAGTATTCTGGAGATTTGATTTCAATCCAAACTGATAGGGTAGTCTGGGCTATTTCCGATAATTATCTCTTTACTAAATGTCATATATAAAGATACAATCGTGTGTATAACTTGAACTACCCTTGATCTGGGTTACAGCATTATTAACAAGCTATGTATAACTTGAACTACCCTTGATCTGGGTTACAGCATTATTAACAAGCTATGTATAACTTGAACTACCCTTGATCTGGGTTACAGCATAATTAACAAGCTATGTATAACTTGAACTACCCTCGATCTGGGTTACAGCATAATTAACAAGCTATGTATAACTTATGTGTTATTTTATTGTGGATAAATAGAGTTAAAAGTTTTTCTCATGGATGGTGTACTTTATGCTGTTGTGATATCTATATTAAACATAGAATAAGGTATGTGTCAAGTTAACAATCCTTATATTAATTGAAGCATTTTAAGTAACTTAGATGGTAGGTTTTTGTGAAAAATATTATCATTTAGTCTTTTTTTTTACTTTGTGATTAGAATTCTCAATTTCAATCTATCAGGTTTCATGGTAAATATCTATTTTAAAATTGTAATACAGTGAAACCTCGATCTTATGCGCCCAGATTAAACGCGAAATCGGATATAACGCAATGGGTCATTAACTCTTTCGACACGGGCTCAGTCCCTGGGACTGACCTCGTAACCATACCTTCAGTATAGTTTATATACTAATAACTTAATATTTTAAGTGTATCTTTACAAAACCTGGATTTAGCACGTCCCCGCTTGTTTCGTGATGACATTTTATGGACCTCAACGAATAGCGTTATAACGGGGCTACACCGTAATATGAAAAAATTATACTTGCCATCTAGAAAAATTACTATACTGTTGTTTTATAAACTTTCATATTTGGTAAATACTTTATAATCATATTAGGCTTAACTGTGTTTTAATCATAGTAGGCCTAACTATGTTTTAATCATATTAGGCTTAACTGTGTTTTAATCATATTAGGCATAACTGTGTTTTAATCATATTAGGCCTAACTGTGTTTTAATCATATAAGGCTTAAGTGTGTTTCTCGGTGATCATCTATACTTCTTTAATCAATATGTGTTTTGTATCACAGTGGTTCTGCTGTGATGCAGGATGGAAAAACAATCCGGGATAGATACAAGTGTGATCTTGATTCTCTGAAGACGGGAACTCGGATAGGAATGATGCGACATCTTGATGGAACTCTTCACTACTATGTGAACAACGAAGATCAAGGAATAGCCTGTCGAGATGTGCCACCAGGTAATCCAGGTTTCCTGCAACTATTGGGCATGGTTTTACTTCTCAAAATCACCATATGTATTTATCTGTGACAGTTGTCTTCTGACCATAGTAAAAATAACAAACACAAATTAATTTATTTCAGACTTATGAATTCACATGATCTAAAAAACAGTTAGTCACTGTAATCTCAAACTTTTAGGCTGCTCACAAAGTAATTATTAAGTTAAATATTAGACGTAAAGGAGAAAACACTAAGTCGAAGGTTGCATGTATTGCTATAATAAAAAAATTAAATAGGGGAGTAATACCTTATCCAGATTTTGTGGTTCCAAAAATACTGGGGAAGTTGGAAACTTGTAAAATGTTTTCTTGTCTAATAAAGTAGATTGTTGTATCCAAGTACAGGATATTTTACTGACAACAAACAGTTTGTTGTATTCGTTGTCAGTAAAACATCCTGAACTTAAACAGCTTGCTACATC